TTTGACTGAGACTGTCAAGTGATATCTCCTCTTTCTCAGCCTGAATGTCTCGTGTTAGATAGATTACAGTTTGCTTATATTCGCATAATTTGTGGCCTTATGAGGTCCACTCCTACCAATGTGCTGCTAGATCTGGTTAACGAACAACCTTTGGCTTGTCGACGTAGGTTTTTGACCCGTAAGTATTTGTGTCGTGTGGCTTTTCGTGCGGAACACCAACTGGGTTCAATGGTGCGAGAAAGCCTTCCTTCGTGGAGCTCTATATGTGGAGCCAACAGTTTCGATCTGTTCAACATCTTCAATCACCTTTCGACTGCAGTTCAGCAAGTAGAAGTGCTCATTCTACCTGGCTTACTATCCTTTTTTTTTTGTCAAGTTCTACAAGTGTTGCGTTGATCTTAGTTCAGGCGCTAAGTTTCGTTCTGCACACTCACCTCAACTGGAGTTGAGTAGATTCCTGGATAGTATGGGTGCCTCACATATCTTCTACACTGACGGCTCCATGATTCCCTCTGTCGGGGATCAACCCGCTCGGGTGGGTTTTGCAGTGGTCTCTGAATACCCTGATCTGGTACATTTCACCAGACTAAATAATCATTCTACCATCTTCGATGCTGAAGCACAAGGCATTCTGTGTGCTCTTGAATACATAAGGGACTTTGCGTTAAGCCTGTCGGTTGTAGCTTCCGACTCCATGAGTGTTCTGAGCTGTCTCATGTCCTCTGACCCTCGGGGCTCTTACCCGAGTGTTGTGTATAAAATTAAGTCGCTCACTTCTGAACTCGCGTTGCAGGGAATCAATGTTAGTTTCTTGTGGGTCCCTGCCCATAAGGGTATCAGAGGTAATGAGAATGCAGACTTTTATGCCAAGAAAGCGTTGAGTCTACCTGAACCCAACTCGTCTTTTAAGTGTCCTTTCAGCTCCCTGTTTTCCGGTTTCAGGAAAGAGGTGCTGGAAGAGTCGAGGAAGTTTTTGCTCGGGGAAGCTCTGACCAAGGAGGGTAGGTACTTCTCTTGGAAGGATCAGGTTCTTGATAAACCTTGGTATGAAAAATTTAAAAGACCACTCCCTAGATGCTTAGTCTCCTTTATCTCACGCATTTGTACTTTTTATACGTGTGCTGGGGCGCACTTTGCGGATAAGTCAAGTGTTGAAACAGCCAAATGTGAATGTGGATACACTCAACAAAACATTGATCATATTTTTTTCCATTGTCCTATTCATAAAGACGCTTCTGACTCACTTATACTTGACTTATTCCACAACGGTTTCAGCCCACCGTATAGTGTGGCGGAGGTTGCCTTTTCTAATAAGTTACAAGCCATGCATGCATTGTACGCTTTCGTCGTTAAAGGGCAGATATCCATCTAAGCTTACATTTTATCGTACAGACTGAAATCCTCCTCTACTCATTTCTTCTATAATCTCCCTAACTCAGTTCGACCGTCTGATTGGAGTTGTGCTCCGATTCTCACATGCGGGGTGTAAATCTCCCCACCCGCAGTCTGTGTCAAGACCATATATATAATACTACTATATTGTTAGTACGGTGCCGACCTGAAGTTCAATGTTACGGTGCAGACAATATAGTAGCCTCTCTCTCCAGCTGCTTTGTGCGCATGCGGTGAACATTCAAGCACGTTTGGGCATTTCTCTTTCTCGCGTTCTTTCCAATGCTTTGTCTCGTTCGCACTTGCTTAATAGACGCGCTTGCGCATAATGACGCTCGACCATTTATGCCCATATTTGGACTTCGTGCGTCTCTCTTTGTCGGGCCTCGTGCCTCTCATTGCGAAAATACGCAACTAGCAATATAGAAGTATTATATATATGGTCAAGACCTAGAAACCAACAGTGAAAACTACTCTACTATGGCTGCTTTCCCTTTAGGAGACACAGTCGACACAAGTCGACACAAAAATCATTCTGTCTTCGTTCAGTATTCAGTGAGAAACAAAGACAGAATGACTCTTGTGTCGAATTGTGTCGACTGTGTCACCTAAAAGGAAAGCAGCCTATACAACTCCGTGATCACGCATTGAGTGTGTTTTGCCGCACCGGCCCAGTGGTCTCGCGGCCTGAGTGCAGGGGCTGCGAACCCGAAGGTCCCGAGTTCGAATCCGCTCACCACCTAAGGATTTTTTCCGGGCCGGTCCCTTTCAACCGAGTTTATCGGTTGAGTGGCGAACTGAATCGGGCCTCCAAAAATTAATTCGGGTGTAATCCCGAATTAATTTTTCTCCCACAAGGCGATCATAGTCATAACATCTTGAGCACGAGCCCGACATAGATGGGCACGCCCACTGTGAAAGACGGCCGTGTATCGCGTGGTAGTATATAGGAGTATTATATATATGAACGCTACGTAGCGCTACCTTCGGCAAAACACACCCATTGAATCTACGGTTTTAATCCAAACTCAGTGAAGACTTAGAATTGCGTATGGACTAGCAATAAGGGTCCACTGAGCTAGAGTCCCTGGAAATAAGAGTCTGGCCAATGTTTAATCTGAAACAAAATGGCGTCGATAGTTACTATATATATCGTATTCTATATCGTATAAGGCCGATTTCCTTATATCTCCCGATAGCTATTCTTTGAAGAAATATATAAAAACNTATATTGTATCTTATCTAAAACTTATTCAGAAATGGAGAAATTGGACATAAAACCTATGATAGAAAAATAGGTATGTACAGACACTGTGCAACAAAAAATGACATTCTAACCTTCTGTTAACAATTTGATAGAATAATTGCAAATTTATTTATGTGTTTGT